AATTACTCGTATAAAAAATTTCAATTCTTTAAGCGATGATTCCTAAGATTTAAAGCCGTACACATTATGAGGGCTAGTGTACATATATATGTAAATATGTAGGTACTAGTGCGCGAAAACAAAAATATTTAAATTATATTATAGAATTAGAGTTCATATTGTGTAATATAGTACATACAGTCAACAAAATTCGTGTTCAAACACCCTATTTTTTCAGTGAAAATAGAATTTTTCGATCCAATTTAAATTTTAAAAACTTGACATTGTCTTGTTGAAGCAGATATCGATCCCTAATCCTAGTTTACAAATATCAAAGTATTTCTCAGCATTCATAATTCCGGTGACGGAACCTCCACCGAGTTGAAATGTGAGCAAAAGGTTCATGTGATGAAGACGTTTATTTTTCTCGCGCCATATTTTTACCCTTCCATCACTGTATTAAATATTAAATTTTGATTCATCTGTGAATATTATACGTCTGCCTATATAAAGGGTGTTTTTTTCGAGGTATAGAACTTTAAGTTGGCATTACTGTTCCAGATGGCGACCGATTTAGCAGCTGTCAAGTGATTTATTATCAGTTTAGTTTGGCAATTCATCATGAATAGACTCACGCCTGAACAACGCTTGCAAATAGTGCAATTTTATTTCGAAAATAATGGTTCTGTGCGGAATACGTATCGCGCACTACGTTCATTTTATCGTATGATGCGATGAAGCGCACTTCTGGTTGAATGGCTACGTCAACAAACAAAACTGCTGCATTTGGAGTGAAGCTAATCCTCAAGTGTATGTCGAAACACCGTTACATCCAGAAAAACTGACTGTTTGGTGCGCTCTGATGAATCATTGGCCGGAATTCTTCAAAAACGATGATGGTCAGAACGTTACAGTCAATGGTGATCGGTATAGAGTCATGATTACTAACTTTTTCATTCCTGAATTGAAGAACCATGATGTCCAGAAGCTGTGATTCCAACAAGACGGCGCAACAGCCGTGGCGGTCATATGCCAGAAATCATATATAAAATGTAATGACGCAAGATTATTTTTCGGATAAATAAAATTCATGTCAGTTGAATAATCCATCGTTGTTTTATTGCAATTTAAAGTTCTATACCTCTAAAAAAAAAAACACCCTTACATACATTTTATTGCAGCGGATTTGCTCCTTGTTTTTTGATTTCGAAGAGTGTTATGAACGGTTTGCGCTTTTACTGTCACTCTTTCGAATTCAGTTAACATTTTTTTTTTTTTTTTTTTTTTGCTAACTTTGGTACCGAAATTGTTGGATCCTTACGTACGTCTTTCACTAAAAATGACACATTTCTGGGAATTCTGTGGAATTTTGTTTTTACATTCGTTTCGACGCCTTTTTTCAATGTTTTGTATTTTTTAAATGTATTAATTATATACTGAACTATTCATGGCTTCGGTGTATTATTTTTCCAATTTCCCCGTAGAGATTTTCGGTCTTGATGCAGTTTTAAAGACAATTACCGAATGTCATTTGGAACTTCCGAACCCGTTTTATAAAAACACCTTGTTGATGACCAAAATAAAAATGATGCATAATTTATAAAAAAAATACGATCTTTATTTTGGGCAATTGAAATATTTGCTCTAGCTAACGGTTATTTGAACCCATTCTGAATTAGCGGATTATTGATTGGTGTATTAATACGAATTTTGCGTTCGCGCTAACTGAATTTTGCGAATTCATGGAAAATGTTTAGTAGAATTGAAAAATTTTTATTATCCAATTGCTTCATATTTGTTTAAATACAGTTTACGAATAAATTCAGTTTTTTAGTTTGGATGATTTAGTAGAAAAAAAATGTTATTACTTTTAAAAGAGGGTGTATGAATGGAATTTTGCCGACTGTATATACATATTTATATGTACATACATGAGTATACACTGGTGGCAGAAATAGTAGGGACAAAATCATTGGCATATTTCAAAGCTCAAAAAAACTTTTTATCAGCATAGGTTTGAATCACTAGTCACTATGCCACAATGCTTGATAACAGTACTTTATGTTTGTTTCGTTTTGCGTCAATTATTTTTAGAATGGCGACGTAAATGCTATTTTGTTTAAATGTATAGCGTTTAGATCTTGCAGAAATAATAGGGATAATTTAGCTTAAAAAGGATAAATAAAGAAATAATAATCTTTGGTTTGTATTTTGATGATGATAGGAAGAAAATTAAAATATCGGTCCCGGGTCCCGAAGTGCATTGGAAAAATGATGGTGAAACTATACAAGAAAGGGAAAATTATAAGGTAAATACTCAATATCATAAACTACTTTAAGAATATGATATTAAATGCCGTTCACCACGTGAAAAACCCTGAAACTAAAGGAGAGAAAAGCAAAACCTAAACCCGTTTCAACTAAATGTTGATATGTTATGTCCCGGATAATCCATTAAAAGCTTCCAACGACTTGAAAATGGAACTGAATGATCCAATTACAAGTCGTACAGTTTGGGAATTCTTTGAGCTTCAAAAGTCTGATTTCCGAAAAACGTTCTGAGGTTTATAAATTCAAGTGAACATATTTTTAAAATTTTGTCACATATCAAATGCAAAAGTAACAGCAAATTAAAACAGTTCAATTGTATAAATATTGCAATAAAATATTGTACATGCATATAATGTTACCCTAATATGTTAAGTATGTACATATAAAGAGGTTCGAACTATAAAAATTATCCAGTTCTACATACAAAAATATTTAAGTATACTTAGCAGTCTTCAGCTAATTAGAAACGGCATTTATTTTACAATAAATACTTTTTTTCCACTGTAATACGTATGTTCATAATTTTTGCGTATATTTTATTTAAACATACTATCAACCACTACATGGGTTACATGGGTTGTGTCGGGTAAAAAGGCCTATTTTCAATAATTTGTTTTCTATATAAAAATTATTTATTTAATTCAAACTTTTTTCTCTCTTAAAGATACACATTTAAAAAATAACTTCTAAGATTTAAAAAAAATTAAAACTCCACCGTTGTAACGTCATTTCCGGTGACCACTCGAAAAAAGGTGCGTCCGGTGAGCATAACTCCTGACAGGATCATCTAAAATGAAAAAATATGTGTTTTAGTTAAGACCATAAACTAGTGCTTGAACGAAGGAAGAAAAAAATTAAAATTGGATTTTTGGCAAACCTTTTTCCAAAAAAATGAAAACTTCGGTCAAATTTGCTCAACATTTCTTTTTTTAAAATGGTTGTAATTGAAAAAAAAAAATCGTTCGTCCAAGCACGAGTAAATTGTATCTCAAACACCTGTATAAAATTTCATCAAGATCGGTTGAGGTTCACAAGAAATCTTGATACCCGACTTTGAAAATACAGTTTCGAGAAAAACGCGTTTAAAGTTTTAAGCGACCACATAGCTGACCTCGAGCGCGCAACTTTTCAAAACTGTATATCGAAAACTATTACTGGTATCAACTTGAGATTTTAGGAAAATATTCTAGAGATGTTATATAATTAAATAAGACAATCTAAAATCTAGCTTCGCTTCATAACTCCAAACTACATACATACATAGCAGACCAATGGGGCCTTGCAAAGTCTACCCGTTGTTATCTTCGAATGTTACTAAAAAGTGCCTTATTGCGTGTTGGTCTGCTATGCAGTCCAGATTTGATCAAACGTTGAGAATTTGTCCTTTGGGATATTTGGATATTAAATTTGTCTTGTTGAATGTTAAATGTCTGTTGAACATTTTTTTGGGTATCTTCAGGATTGATTGCTTCCTGCTGAGGTTTTTTGGGGCCTTTTTCTCCATGCATTGTTATAATTTATCGATCGATTTTTAACTTTACGAAGGCCAAAAATAAAGCTGCAGGGGCAGGTGCACAGCTGGCGCCTTTACTAATGAAGTTAATTTGTTTATTTGTTAGGAACAAATTAAAAATTCTTTTGTTTTAATTTTACACAGATTTGGCAAATTTTTATATTTTATATGCAGTTTTTTTTGTAATAATGCGATATTAACATGTGAAAAAATAAGACCACTTCTTTTACTAAAACAATTAGGAAAATGTGGTAAACTAGTTTTCATTCAATTGTGTTAATATTTATTTCTAATTAGTTTAAAATTGATCAACTTCTCTTCGGCATAGAATCAACTAGGTTTTGGCAGACCAAACTGGAATTTTCTGGCGTTCCATGAATTCCGAATAAGCTCGTCCTTGTTACTTGACGCTTTTACTTCAATATAATGCTTTCAAGTTTAAATAACTGTCTTTTTTCGTGTCCTTATGGTTGTACGCGGTTTTTTTACTTGATCATAGTTAAATAAGTTTATTGTTTGTTTCGTTACACCAGATAATGTTACGCCATTTCTCTTTAGATCGGAGCATATGTTCTTTTGCATCCTTTATCTGTTTTTGCACGTACTTTTTTGGCACCATAGGCAATTTTCTTGGCTTCGAGACTTTAGATTTTCCTTTGCGAATAGTTGATGTGTCAACATCAATATTCTAATTACATTTAATTTGTTTAGAAGAAATAAATGGTTTTTTTAAACCATTGTTTTGGAAACTTGAAGTAAATTTGCTATTGTACTTTTCTGTACGAATTTCCCTGTTTCACAAAAATTTTAATATGCTCTTGAGTTCCTGTACTTGCCCTTTCCCATACATACTTATGTATGTATGTACATATCTATTCAACAAAAGGAAAAACCAGACTCTAATTGGTTGATACAAGTAATTAACCTGAAAGTATTATTTTTACCTTATCTCCAAAAATAAGCACATTTTAGTAAAAATATTTTCGTTATTGTTACAAAACGACACGCTGTCCTTAAAAGAAACGTGAGTGGTTCAAATAGAACACCGTAATAAACTTTTGATATACATACATACACATGTATTGCATACTTATGTACATACATATGTATGTATAATGGATGTGTGGATATTTCAAAATATTTATGTATGTATGTTCACATATCTATGATTTCTAAGAATGACAACAAGTTTAAGCATCAAATATACAAACCGAAAATATATAAGACTAAAAAAAAATTATGAAAGTAATACTACCGGTTGTGAACGAAAATGGTCGATTGAATACTTAAAGACACACATAAGTATGTAAATACATGTGGTTGTATGTAGTATACATGTACACTATTTTGCATATCGCAACAAATTAATTAAAAAATGTGTACAATTCAGATTTGTTCAGTTACTGTTAAAAAAGAATTTTACGTTTATACATGGTTGATATATAAAGAGTGTTTTAATGAAAATGTACTAAATCAAACTCCATACAAATACATATGTACATATGTATATATGTATGCATAAAAAACACAGCCTGCATATCGAAATAAAACACGGATTAGGACTCAACAAAAACATATCAAAGCAATATTTATCCAAATGTAAATAAAGATCGTTATTACGCAAGCAACAAAAGAAAATTTACTATACGGATATTGTTGATAAGAAATCATGTAAGTAGCAAAAATCACAAAACAAATATTTTTTTTTGTTCATGAATATGTCTATAAATAATACGTGAAAAAAGTTTGAATAAAGTAGTTGAATATAATTACTACGTTTTTCGGATATATTTTTGGGAATGTATACAGATTATAATTGTTTTATATTGAGGATAAGTGCTTGTAAAATGTAATCCAGAAATTAATGAAAACAAATGTCGAATTTTGCTTTTCTCGGCCCGCCACTGATATCCGCATACGTATACATATGTATGTATGTACGAGCAAGTATGATTTTACACAGCAAACAATTCAGCAAATATCCCACAATATATGTATGTACTTAATCAGAAAAGTATTTTTTCCGATGACCTTACACAATAACGATAAAGTATTGGGCCACATTATTAAACTATTCCTTAGTAAAAGAACCGAAATCTGGAATTTAAAATTATTTACATACATACATACATAAATACATATGTATGTATATTTTCTCCTTTAACAGTTCCTTTTGTATTTTTCAGCATAATTCCCCAACAGTACCCTGAAATTGTAAATTGTTTTTAAATATTTTTAAAACTACACTATTACAAATTAGTAGTGAAAGAGTTTCAACAATAAGTATGTACATACTTAAATAATATAACCAAGTAAAATAACCCTTAAACAATTTGCTAGCACGGAGAAAAGAATTTTGTTTAAAAAACTCAAAGCTTAAAACTGCAAAAAAGTTCCTAAAATTTAAGCTGAAAGTAAATGTGTCGTGGCCAGTATTTAAGGATTTTGAAGTGAAGTTCAACTGATGAAACATTGTATTGTAGTTCATAAAGTTTCATTCATTCTATGCTACTTGAATACAGTGCAGAATCGATTATACTTACATACATATGTATGTACTTAGGTATGTATGTGGTACAATGTGGATGGCAAAAACAATAAGAAAAGGAAAAAAAGAATTAATTTTTTGTTTCTATTTGAAGAAAAGTGCTGCAGAGTCGCATCGAATGCTAATCGAGGCAATTTGTGATCATGCTCTATCAGAAGCAAGATGCAAAAGATGGTTTCAACAATGAATTTAATGTGAGAAATGAAGAACGTGGAAGACCACCAAAAAAGTTTGAAGACGCCGAACTGCAAGCAATATTCGATTAAGATGATACTTTGAGTCAAAAGAAACAAACAATTTTAGACCATTTGAAAGTTTTGGGAAAGATCCAAAAGTGTGGAAAATAGGTGCCACGTGAATTGAATGAAAGACAAATGGAAAAAACACTTGTGAAATTTTGCTTCAATGACGCGAAGGAAAATCAGTTTTACATCGAATTATTACTGGTGATGAAAAATAAATTTATTTTAAGAATCTTAAACGGAGAAAAATCATGGTTTAATCCGGGACACTCATTAGTTGAGTAGCACTTCGGTTCCTACGCAGAAGTCGAAAATACTTAAGTAAACTAAAAACTCGTTGTCTTTTTCCGAAAAATACCAGTAGAAATTAGAAATTAATTGAGGTTTGCACCGCGACTTACATGTTTGAACCCTAAACAAAAAAATAACAGTAAATCAAATATCAAAATGTTCTAAGGTTGGTGAGCAAAACTGGACGCATGAGTTTCGTTTGGATACCCTATGAAATTATTGGTTTATGTTACCTTTCTAATATTTATTTTATTTTTTGACGTTTAAAGAAATAAGTATGCACTTAAAAATTTCAAGCAAATTGAATAATTATTGCTTTTTCTGTAGCATCATACGTTGAAGATTTGACAAACATCCGAACAGTATTGCAAACCTAGCTTTCAAAACTTTTAAAACGACCATGCCACTTTCAACTGTGTTAAATTACAGTTTAATTTGTGATTGATTTAGAGCAATGCTGGTTAGTGCAGATGGCTGTGGCGTTATGCAGTAAAGTTAGCTGGGTCCCAAGAAACCTAGTAGCAAGTTTCATTAAGTATCATCATATGTATGTATATGTCATTCATAATTAATAGAAAAAGTATATTTTGTTACCTTTACATAACATTTTCACTAATTAAAATTGATGACGATTGCATTCATACATACATATGTATGCACATATATTCAAAAGAAAAAAATTGTGCTTCTATTGCGAAATTTAATAAACATCTCAAATATCATCATCAAATTTGACTCAGATAATTGATTGACAAAAAAACTACATTTTCTCGTATTTTAACACAATTTATTATCGCCTCTAAAACAGACTCCTAAGCCCATACAAGCATGCTAATGCTTAATCCAATTTCCCCTACATTTGGTATAGGTCTCAGCTGAGATGAATTTTTTAGGTTTCGGCTTATTTTTGGAGTACCATTCGCTAGATTGTTAGACAGTTTTGACCCTATATTCAAAAGCCCACGTCTCGTCACCAGTAAGGACGCGTTTCATTAATGTAGGGTCGTCAGCTATGCTGTCAAGCATCTCTTTAGCGACATCGTTTTTGCAAAAGATTCCAGTCTTTTTGGTATGAGTTTAGCATTGACATGTTTCATACTCAAAACCCAAAATATATTAAGTCGATCCATAACATATGTTGAGATCCTCTGCTATTTCTTTGATGGCGATTTTCAGTACTGTTTTCTTAACTTTTTCGATGTATCGTTATAAACAAGGTAAACGGACGACTCGCATGAGGCAAATTTTCGATGACTTCATGACCCTCACTGAATGCTTTGTGCTTCCTAAATACTTGTATTCGTGATAAAGTGTACCTTGCAAAACGCTTCTGTAACAATTTCAATGATCCCGTTATTCTATTCGAAACACAAAATTTCAAGCAACCACATTGTTCAATATTTTTTCCATGGGAAAAATCGCCAGACAAACCCTTTGCCTCGTACAAAAAGCAGCTGCCAAATACCATACACATTAATTGACATATGGAGATCAAACTTCACACGAATATAAAAAAGGTTATACCATACTAAAAAAAATTTCGGTTTGTGCGCTCAGCTTACATAGACCATGCTCAGTTATTGAATTGCCGAGCCTCAGAGCATTTAATGCATTATTTTTACTTTTTTTAAATGCAACTTTTAAATGAATATTTTTATTAAAAAATCAGCTTTTTTGTAAGGTGGAATATTTTGGATTAAATTGTCAATAATAATACCATGTAAAGTAAATGGAAAAAGTAAACTGATTTAGACACGGCTTAAATTTAATATACTTAAAGAGCTTTCAAGGGCGTTTGCAAAAAAAAACCTCAAATTGGAGAAATAACGGACACCCTAATACATATATACATGTATATATAATAGGGTGTAAGGTGACCAAAGCTAAACTATGTGCGTACATATGTATGAAAGTATTTGAAAAGTATATACATATGAACATATGTTTATTTATATTCATTCGTATGGACCTACTTATGTATATACACATAATTTGCATCGTGGCGCCAAGATGTTGAGAAATTTTATCCATCCACACAAAGCTCTGTGTGCGCATCTTTCAGCGATACCTACATACATACATACAATGTATATACATATGTATATAATTCTCACGACTGCCAACTTGTGGCTTGAGCAATGCCTTTGGAAAAAAGTTAATCATGCTAATCACAACCACTGTAAAGAAATTAATAAAACGAGAACTATATTGATAAGGAATTATAAAAGATATTTGAAATATGACGTACTGCTTTGGGGAATAATTGGTTACAGGTTTTGAGACATTTGTTTGGATCACAATTTATTAAAAGCATTTTATGTAGGTACATATATGTATGTTTATAAGTATGTACATAGTATGTATGTATATTAATATGTTAGTAGCTGTCTTCGATTCGCCATATCTCTGATCGAGTTGAATTTGTGAAAGAGGTATAGCCGCTATCTTCAATGCTATCAAGTTTTGTTTGTCATAGTTTAGATGAGTTTAACTATTGTGAATGGTTCAAATGACAAATGAAAGTACAAATTTCTTTGTTTTTTCTTAAGACTTAAAATCATTTGTAGTAATTTATAGAAAACAAAAAGAAAGGGTTATTGCAATGTTTTTGACGCGAAAAAAGAATTTCTGCAGTAAGAAAGAGTTATAGCACTACAGCGCATGCGTCAGCAGACATGTTAGCGCAGTTCGATTCGCTGGACATTAAAACTTGTCGAATCGAAAGCAGGTAGTTTAATCCCTTTTCAATTCATTATTCCACTACTGTTGGACTTTGTTTTCGACAACAACTTTTTCCCTCTTCTTGATCAAACTATGTATGTATATATGTTTAAATATATTCCGCAATGTACATATTTGTATTAGTTGTTTGCGTTTTGTATTGCGATTCGAAGACAAGATATACTACTAGACAGAAAAAGTCTGTGTACAAGGTACCAACCAAAATAAATCGTTGAAAAAAATAATTTTGTATACTTTTTATAAAATCCAATGTGTTTGATATTCATTAAAGACGTTTTAAAACATCCGCTAAAGGTTTTGGCATAAAATAGACAAGCTTAGAGGTTTCAGTCCAAGAGATGTGAGCCCGATCTTCGTTAAGCACATCTTTGAATCACATAGGTGCTTTTTAGAAATAAAATCTGGTGATTCTGGTGGTGTTTGAAGCTGCTTGAGAATGTTATAGAGTAACCAAAGCTCAACTATGTCTATGCTATATGATTCGCTATTTTTAAGATTTTGGCCGCCCTAGACGGGCCGAGATATTAAAAAGCCGGTATCTTTGTAATTTTGTATTATTCTTTTTATGGAAAAATGTGTTCTTCCAACAATTCGACCGATTTCACCGTATGTTTTTCCTTCTTCCAAAAGTTTAACCATGATTTCCCTTTCAGAGGTTCCCTTTGTTTTCTTTTAGGCGAGATTCGATGTTCTAAATTTAATAACAAACTGAATAAAACAAAAACCCTTTGAAATTGCCACTTTTGCCAAAACATTTTATTTATTTTTTGTAAAGAGAAGTAGAAGTAACGAAAAATACTCCAAAGAGTATACTTATATGTACATACATACAAGCATACATATGTATGTAAGTATATCCAACGTGATAACGAATTTCGGGATTCTGTAATTTTTACCGATATGGGCCCAAATTTAATTTAGTTGGATGCAACGGTCGTCGATTTGTAAGGCGTAAGGAAGGCTAAAGCTAAAAGTTATGACTGCTCTTCAGAAGATGTGGACAAATATACCTACCATTATGGTGTATTCTATAAATAAAAGACTGCATACAATGATAGAGGGCAAAGGTGTACGTACAAAGTACTAATTTTTCTTCAAGAGTGTTAAAATGACAATTTATGCAAACTGTACAAGTTTTTTTTTGGCTTTCGAAAATGGATTTATTTTTATTCTTTTATTTTTTGGAGAAAACTGAATTTTTAAAAAAATATTTCAATTACATTATGAAAATTAATAAAAACGGACTTTTTCTCTCCTTTGGATGCAACTCAAAAGTTTTAATAGTTTAAGAGTTAAGTCACTTCAAACAAAAACAATCTCCCTGTACAACATTTTTTTTTTTGATTCACTGTATGTACATACATACATATGTATATGTATGGAAGAAAAAAATCATACACGGTATGAATTTAAAGTCTGTTTAATAACCCTGCCAGTCACGGCTAACTACTTTCCCTAGAAGTTTCAACACAATTACATATTTTTTCTTCAGGCACTAACACCAACTCATACTTTTGGGATATTTCTTTTTTAACTGATTTTGAATTTCCTAAACAAACCAAACTTCCAATCTCATTTCTTGAACTTATTGAGCAAGTGAGAAAACATATTTGTCATTAGTGCCAATATAAAAATCCCAAAAAAGAAAATAAAAATATTGACAAATGCAAATCGATTGTTTTTGAAAATACAAAGGTATGTTCACAAATTTTTTAACTTGGATTTTACATGAATTGTCGAATAATTTTTTTGCTTTTATTTTTGAAGTAAATCAGTTTTTTGCTTTTTTGGTTAGTTTTGTTGTTTTCATTATCATAAAAGTCATCAAGTTACAAACACACTGGTTTTTGGTAAATATAAAAAATGGATATGTCGAATACTTTTTTTGGCCAGTGTATGTACAAGTATGTTCAACTACGAAGAGTACACTATCGGAAGTTTCAGTAAGTATACATATTTCAAATAACTAAAATAAGAAAAAAAATTTATAGAAATGTATTTTGATTCCAGGCAGTTGATAGGTGTCTTAATAAGTCCCATATGGCTATATACATATGTACATATGTATCATAACCTCAAATATCGTTGGATTGGCGTCTTCGCGGACAACAAATACCACTTTTTTAACCACTTTTGGCTGGAAGGGAATTACATACATATGTACATAATGCATATGTCTGTTGTTGTATTAAGTTATTCATTATACGTTTTTATATCCAAAAGTATTATTCCGTTTATGTACAATATATATGTATGTATGAACAGTTGTCCACAAAAAAGGAGTGACATCATTAACAAAACGAATCTTTAAATTTTTAATAAAAAACATGTTTTAAGTTTAAAAATCTTTATACAAGACGTTCACTGATGATATACTTATTAATATTTCCATAGTGCATATGTTTCAATGAACGTAAAGAAAATTTAAAATCACAGTTTATGTTAACATAAAGTAAAAATTAGTTTCACATAAAAATAGGAGTATTCTATGTAGTACGAAAAGTTCTGAAAGTTTTAATTAAAATGATTTCAAACCTTTACTGAATATTAAAAAAATTAATATTTCTTTGAATAGCTTTGGTGTCTTTATAGAACATCACACTGTCTGGAAATAAAGGCTATAAAATCTTGGCAATGCTGAAATGATTATATTTCCCAATTCTCTTTTACTACTGCCAGAAATCACTCGAATTGGCTAGTTTCCGTTCAATAACACTTTTCTCATATCAGTTCTAAGGGTTTTCAAGGGGTTGAGGTCAGGAGACTGAAAAGACTGAGACATACATACGTATTTAACTTCAACTTCGTTGCCTCTACATCATTTTTTCTCACACTTGCTGAACTGTTTCTGGTCATTATCTTGTTCGTTTACTCATAGAAATGCTATATTCCATTAGACATATTATAACATTATCTCATGTAATATTTTAACATATGCCATTTGATCCATGAGGTCTTCACTCAAGAGAATTGGACCAACTCCACTATGTGAAAAGCTACCCTCTACCATAATTAGGGGATTCTTTTCCAAATTAGAGTTTCAGTATTAACTGATAAATTTAGTTCATTGCTGATGCTCCTGGAAGTATTAATTTTACAGTAGTGTCATGCTTATATTGGGATCGTCAACAATGGTTTCATTTGTATTTCTATAATTTCCTCCATTTCTTGTATCTCCTTGTACGTTTTTCCTAATTTTCAATTTTGTTTTTCATTTCCCACCTTACATCTGTAAAATGCTTTCCTCTACGCTCTGAACTAAAATCCAATGACTAAGTTTACCATAACTAATTAAAATTGCTGCTAGATTATGGAACTCTACTTACTTTTCTAATCTTGCAAATATTTTTTAAGTTAATGATTATTTTAGTAAGGAAATGTCTAACACTCCTATTTTTTTGTGGAAAGGAATTTCAAGGGCATCAGCAAATCCGAATGAGAATAACAATCATCTCATTATCATTGGTTTTCTGTTTTAATGTGAATATCCCGTTATATGTATTATGCTATTGTACCCCGTCATTTACATGTGGTCCAGAAACGTTTTATACCCAAATATATTTTTGATATTGGCACTCTTATTATTTTGTGGACAACTGTATTATTTACCATTTATTTTATAATTTTAATTTTGGCGTTATTTGAACATCAAAAATTGCAATACTGATTAGCCCCCTGATGTGCGTTCAGTGACGAAAAACGTAACGTTGTGGCGCCAGTATCTGCATACATATGTATGTACATATGCATACGTTTATATATATACATATGTACATTATTATATGAAAAATTTAATGATGTTTTTGTTTTTAATGTTGTCTAGTAGCTGTATAACAACATACATATGTGAATGCATTAGTAAATAAAATGAAATTACTTGACTTGCTCTCCAACTTGAGAAACAAGTGCCAAACTTATACTTTGGTGCGCAGTATATGTACATATATGTGTGGGCATACACACATAAGAATTTATGTATATGGCTTTGTAAGAAATCATGTTGGTATACCCGGCACAGCCATAAACCAGGCGACTCAACAAGAATATTTTTTAGTGGCGCTGCTCGTTTAGTGAGGATACTCTATATAGTGAGAGGTGATGTGGCGCAGACATGTTAGTCGTTATCTGGTTATTCACTGGCGTCGATACGTAAGCACTACTGAATTTGTTCGCCCCTGTATAGAAATTCGTTTGTGTTTGTGTGTTGTTTCTGAATGCGACTGCTTGTATGCATGCACGAGTATGTGCTTATATATGTTTATGAACCCTACAAGAACAGTGACAGTCATATGACCGGTAATATGACAGTCATAGCTGAAAAAATTTTGTCAGTTCGCAGAACAAAGTTTCTATCATTTTCTTAAGAGCCTTGTGCAAAAAACCAATGTAAACCAACGTATGTGTGCGAGTTTGCATCTCTCTTTAACAGAAAGGTATTCGATATATCTATACTGCTCACTCTCATGTCTTTTTTTTGAGTCATTACTGACCATAAATCCATCATAGCTGAAAATTGTCAGTTATGACTAAAACGCTATCATAGCGTTGACTGTAAATCTATCAAAAGTGAAAAATTCGTTTGCGCAGTATATAATATAATTTTTATTTCTTTAATAAATTCAAAACTTTTAATTAAAAGTAGTTATAATAATATACATACATAAATATAAAAAAGAGTGTAACAAAAATAGAATTAAATAATAAGTTAAGCTCTGCTGTACGTGTTTCTTGAGTTCATGGATATTTCGGAATTTAAAAATGGCTAAATAAGGATAAAAATTAACAAAAATATAATTTTATTATAAACTTAATAATAACTTACGTATATTATATTTGAAAATTCCTTCGTTATTTATTTATTTTTAATAAAACAAAAATTGTTATTGCACAGGAGCACGGAACACTTTTGGTTTATCACACGAAATAACAGCTACATATGTACATAGGTACTTCTCGAAACTTCTATGGAAATGTATTCTGTCCCTTTTCGAAAATTCGCTTTTGGAAAAATCGAAAACATTCACAGTCATTTTACTGTTCATTTGACTGTCAGTACTGACATAATAAATGTGAGTGTATTAGTGAACCCATCAGCAGTTTCTTGTAGGGAAGATATGTCTGGCTGTGCCGCGCCGCATTTGTGTCTGAATTAAAGGCGCCATCATGACGATGTTGGTAACGTTACTATTATTTCTTTTATTACGTCAGTGGCGCCCACTGGCGCCTGATGTTTAAGATGCCGCTGACTACCCGCCAGCCTGTAGCCTTATGTTATACTTGTTGTTGATTGTACGTTTGCTAGCTGCACGCAAGCCCGAGAAGGCATTATATTGTTGTTTCTCTGTTCGCACTGTATTTTCTGGCTAGCTGTCGGAGCGTCTGGTTTTCGACCGTCAGCCACAGCTCAGCGCCGCAATGTACGATATATAAATACATACATATGTAAGTATATGTGCACATGTATATCATATAGGGTGAATAGATACATACATATGTATGTGTAGTCTTATTTATTTGGAGAATAGAGAGGAGTGCGCGACCGACTTATGAATGTATGCATGTACAAGCATACATATATACAAATGTAAGTATTAATAATAAAAAATAAAGAAATATTTGCATGTTTTAGTGAATATAATAAATATGAAATAAAACATTAACATAACTAAATAAATTAATAAATAGTAAATATGTATGTAAGTATGTACAGTTTGTCAATAAATTCTTCGCAAAATGAAAAACAACATGAAAATTAAGTTATGGACTTAGTAGTTGACCGAAATTCATGATTTGTTTTATTTTTTAATTTTATAAGAGAAATCTTAAATATGTTAAGCCGAAAATAAAATAGTGTGCTACCTATTAATTCTGTGCAAAATGCTAACACAAGTCCCTAAGGCTATGTTGACACGCGGACTCTTTTTGTCGCCCAAACATTATTTCGAAAGTAGGAGACGACAAGGAAAGACGAAAGGACCGTGCTGCTCGTGTTCGGGAGGCAAGCTATGTGTTCTTGTTCGCAACAGTTTCCCGCTACGAAATTTAGCATTATTTTTCATTTTGAAATGCTCATGGTTGCAATAGCGCTCGCTTTCAAATTAAAATTTATATTGCTATCTACATTTTGTATGTTATATGCAGTTTTGTATAATATAATAGAACTGTTTTGGAAAAAATGAAATTAGGTAATCAAAAATAATTTTGTTCATCGCGTAGATCAAGTGTACAAAAATTTGAGCATGTGATATGAAAGACAATTCAGAAAATTGTCCGCCTCAAGTTGTCGGACTCGTGTTCCTTCTGTGAACGCAATGAGCGACACCGAAAGAGAATTTGCTGATAATGAGCGACAAAAGAGTTCCCGTCTGAACGCCGTATAAGCGCATGTTCGGACAAGGATTCTTTTTGACGATTAAACCGATTTTCGTAGGCGAGGGGACGACGGGGAAAGACGAAGTCGTGCTCGAGTGGCACGTTCTGCGCTTTTGTTCGGAACATTTCGTTGCTACGCAATTCGCCATTCCTTTTAATTTCGAAAATTGTTTCATGGTTGCAATAGCGCTCAGTTTCAAATTAATATTTACAATATATTCGGAAATTTGAATTTAAACTATTTTTTGTATGTAATATGTGAATATGCATATAATATGTGAAAATACATAATATAATAGAAATGTTTTAGAGTAGGGTGAAGAAGGATTATAATTAGATATTTATGTGAATTTGAGAAATAAAAGAAAATGCAGAATATTCTCCGACTCCGGTTGCGCACTCGTGTCGCTCATGTGAACGCATTGAGCGCCAACCAAAGAGAATTTGACAATTTCACAGGCAATAGATGTTGGGCGGTTTCAGTAACGGTGCAGTTACACGATAAAGAAATTGCTTTCAACTTGATCACTCAAACTAATTGTCCAAATTGATTTAAATTGACAGCCGTGGCCTACGTCAAGCAACTTGATAATAAATAATAAGTAGTTCCAAGATATCATCGTCATGGAAATAACTTAAAATCTTGAAAGTTTTGCACGAAATTAATAATCAGGGGTGTTGTGGAATCCAAGACAGATTTGCGTAGTTATCAGAATTGGAAACCAGTTCTGATTTTGAATGGTGTCACAGAATCTGACTGAATTTGCGTCTTTTCGAACATATGCAAAACCAGCTGTTTACTAATGTGACAAAATTTGCAAATTAATAAATTAGCAAGCGTTTTATAAATTCGAAATGCTCAATGAAATCTACTAAAGTTTACAATGAGTTCCGCTATTTTTGCTTTTATTTTATTTTAAGAAAAAAAAGCAACGAAAAAAATAAAAGGAATATATTAAAAGATCACAGTAAGCCACTTGATGCACCAAGGGAGTCGC